TGCTCAATAAACACTGCAGTGAAGCCTTCATTATTCTGCATTTGTGTCCTGTGTTTTGATCCCACATTGTCATGAGACATGTGATCTCACCACTCTACAGACACTTGTGTGTAATATATTGTGAGAACATAGTAATTGTGTTTTGTTAAATAGTTTTACTCCAGTTGAGTGAACCCACCCATGATATTTTGAGGCAAGTTTTACTTGTCTTAACTGCTGGGTTTAGATAACACCCTGAGACAAAATCAAACAAGCCACAATCATGGTGCAAATTGTAAAGCTCATCTATGATGCCTCTTCATGATTTTAACCCTATTTATTCAGAAGAAAGCGCTATAGAGTTCAGTAGGGTTGTATTCCTCTTAAGTGTGGTTAGGGTTCCAACTAAGAACAATCATCAGAGTCAAGAGGGAATAAGAAATACCTGTACTAGGACACCTGTAACAATTTTATGCAAGTTTTACTGGTCATGGCAATCCTAAAAAGAAACTGAGGACTTCCCACCAGAATCTTCCCACCAGAACTACAGTTAGCAGAATTTGCTAGGGAGAGAGCTAACAAGTACTTTAAGGCTGCTTTGTCAAGCTATGCCAGTGTTTTGCCTATTCAGTGGTAAGTGACACAGTCTTCATTCTGCTACCTTATAGTTTTCTTCCCAGCTTGACAACAGTTGCGGCTTCGATAGAAGACCACCAGAAAATCCGAGAGCGATAGGTCGGACTAGGAGGTTGGACAAACATCTCAGAAAAAGGTATTAGCAAACCACTTCTGCTCTGTTGCCAAGAGAAATCTCTCAAAGTCACCAGATGTTGAGCTCCACTCAAGGGAGAAGATGATACTTATCCTGCCGTTTTCCAGTTGACCACCTTACACACAGTATTATTTGTTAACTCCTTTGATTACAGAGCAGCTAAGTCCCATCTTCCCCCAAAGCTCTGAATCTAAATAAAATCCTGAATGTTGCATCTGTAATCAATAGCACCATTGTATGACTTTAATGGGGCACATTCTTCAAATGACAGAATAAATTCATACAAATCTTTTGTGTGTGTCACATCATTGTAATAGGGTTTGAAAGTTACAGCCCTAGGATTACTTGCTTTTCTAGTATTTGCTATTGTTCTTGCTATTGTTATAACATAGGACAAAACTGAGAGAGTAAATTATGGACCATTGCTCTCCCCCTGCAACTCCCCGTATGCCTGCTAGGAATTTACTGCAGGAAAGAGAGTTTCGTTCTTGTCACAAGTAGCCTGATATATTGGCAACTTAACTGTTCTCTCCCTTCTTTCCTTTCCCAGAGTAGCCATTCATAATTTTAAAGAAAGGGAATCACCTTTCAAGACATTGACTTCATTCTTGATTTAAAATATAAGAAGAAAGGAAGGCTGAAATAATTACAGTTTCTCTGAAATCAAATATGGCTGCATGTTTTAGCAGCTATGCTGAATGTGTAATGAAAATATTAATAAACTAAGATGTTTAAATAGTTACTGCCCTTGGTGTTCTCTGAGCTTGGCTGTTTGCTTGCAGACATTTCATTACCCAACTAGGTAAGATCATCAATGCTAGTGAGTGTGGGTTTTGCCCCCTTTCTATATACAGTAGCTTGCCCTGCCAGTGTTGTTGGGGGTGTTGTTTTCTCCTTGGTAGTTCCTTGATCAGGGTATTGTTTTCTGCTTGATTGTTTGTCTGGTGTTAATCCCTGCTTATCTGGGGGTTGGCTGCTGGAGAGAATGTGTTCTGGACTTTTTTTTTTTCCTTCTTAGCTTTGTGTTGTCTCTTTTGAATGGTGTGCAAATATGGTTTATTTCTGTGTGTCTATTGATGGCTGATTTATCTGGATGTCTAGCTTCCAGGAATCCCCTAGCGTTTTTGGATTTAGCTCGGTCTAAGATGGTCACAGTTTTCCAGTTGAAACTATGGTTGAGTTGGTCCATGTGTTATGAGATTGAGGAGTTTTCAACCCAACCTCCCTCAAAAGGAGCTGTGTAAGAACATTATTCAGATGAGCACAAATACACTGCAACACCCAGAACACCAGAAGAAGGAAACAGAACATCTATACAACATCTTCCAACAAAATGGAACCCAGAAAACTTTATCAAAAAGTGCCTGATCGCTCAACCCACTACAGCACAACCAGCACAAGCTATGAAAAGGATGACACTCCCATACATCAAAAACATCTCAGAAACAACCAACAGACTATTACAACCACACAGAATCACCATAGCACACAAACAAATTAAAGCCCTCCAAAACATTTTAAGTAAACCAAAAGACCCAGTAGCCCAAGAAGAAAAAACAGGAGTCATCTACAACATACTGTACAGTGTAAAATTAAAGCCCTCCAAAACATTTTAAGTAAACCAAAAGACCCAGTAGCCCAAGAAGAAAAAACAGGAGTCATCTACAACATACTGTACAGTGTAAGAACTATAACAGCCACTATATAGGACAGACAGGCAGAAGGCTAGCACAGCACATCCATGAACACCAACTAGCAATCAGAAGACATGATGAAAACGCCTTAATCTCACAACAACAAATGGACAGACTTAACCACAGTTTCAACTGGGAAACTGTGAGCGTCCTAGACCAGCTAAATCGAAAAACGGTAGGGAATTCCTGGAAGTTTGGCATTCAGACAAATCAGCCATCAGTAGACATATAGAAATAAACCATATTTACACACATTCAAAAGGTACAATGAAAAAGCTAAGGAGAAAACAAAAAGGCCAGAACACATCTTCTCTAGTGACCAATACCCAGATAAGCAGGGATTAACATCAGACAATCAAGCAGAAAACAATATCCTGATCAAGAAACTACCAAGGGAAAAGCCAGACCATCACCAACACTGGCAGGGCAAGCTACTGTATATAAACCAGGAGCAAACCCCACACTCACTAGCATTGATGACGTTGCCTAGTTGGGTAATGAAATGTCTGCAAGCAAACAGCCAAGTTCAGAGAGCACCAAGGACTGCGCAAAGCACTGACTGATTGACAAGGTGCAAAAGGAAAAAGTCCAGAGGCAGAATTGAGGTGGAAATGCTCAAATCATCCACTGCTGTGCAGATAAATGAAAATCACAGCCTTTAAAAACCAAATGCAAAGGTTAAAAATGCATAACAGACTTGCAACATATATGCCCATTAAACAGGTAATTAATTTCTTGGCCATTAAAATAAACCCGCTACAGGCTTCACAATTAAAGAGTTAGCAGAGGTTACACACAGGCTAACAGTAATCCTGGAAGCAAAATCCCCTCTAAATTTGAGGTCTCCATAATAGTCTACTGTGATCCATGCCCCCCTCCTTCCACTCACTGGTGGCCATCAGTACCAGGAGCGCTGCTGTGTTCTGCAGTGTTGTTATGGCTTCGCACTAGTTGTGTGGGGTAACTGTGAGTGCCTAAGACATTAAATCGCTTCTTCAGAGTTGCCCACTGCTACAGTTCTATAGAGCCAAAGTAAGAGACATGGCCAAAGCAAGAATGGGGGGGGGGGGATTGGCAGTTCCCCAAGAATGTCAGAAGCGGTGCCAGTTTTCTCACTTGGCAGTACGGAAGGGAAGCTGTACAATTCCCTGCCACTCACTTAAAGCAGCTGCCCAGGAAAATCGGCAGTGGGGGAACAGAATTCCTTACATGCTGCCCAGAAGATGGGAAACGGGGAGGCGAAGCTAATTTACGCCCAGGGTTTTCAAGAAATTTAGCATGAGCAGCACAGGCCACTGAAATTAACAGCTCGGCATCTATTTATTCATCCCGGTGGAAAATTCTGACTGAGAAAGAAGCAAGTTGGAAGGACTTCAATCATTTTTTAAATCCACTTCCTTTTCTTTTCCAGTCTTTTCCCATCACGGCATTCGTACCCGTATATTTAATTATTTACATTTGACAATAAATATAATGCTCTTTGGTGTATTTAGTTTTTAAGTTCACGTTAAGAAATAACAGAATAACTGCATCTGGAATGCTGCTTTAAGCTTTATTGTTTGAATTATTGGGTTTGGTTTAATTGCTAGCAGCTGAACAAATAATATTAACAGTACAATACAGACCAAGGCTAGGAACCTCCTAAAATAAGGCCTGTTTTTAACTGAGTTAAGCGTGCAGTTACAGGACATATTTGTATTTTTAGCATACATACTTTGCTATATGCAAGTGTTCATTCTAGCAAGACCACCCACCCACAATTTGAATTAGTTAACAATATCACCACCCCAGAGGAAAAAGAATCCAGCCATATTGTCAACAAAAATATTGCTAGTTAACAGAATGTTATTCATAAAGCAAAGTTTTCTTGCAGAGTAGTAGTGGAATAAGCTGAAGAAAAAGAAAATATTCTTTTTGGTAATAACCTGTGATGGAACCAGACTGGATTAATTACAGGTTGTCCTCAGGTTATGACCATTCGTTCAGCAACTATTGAAAGTTATGACAGCGCTGAACAAATGGTACTTACGACCAGTCCTCAGAGTTCTGGCCATCGCAGCATCCTCACAGTCACACAATCATGATTTCTGATGTCTCCTGCTGGCTTCCCAGAAGCAAATTCAGTGGGGTAGCCAGCAGGAAGTTGGAAGTCGCAGTCACATGAGTTCCTCACTTAATAACCCACATGGTCCTCAGGTTACAACAGCAAGCAGGACTGCCAGAACTGTCGCTCAGCAGTGTGGGCATGTGACATCGTGCTTTACGACCACATCGCTTAGTGATTGCAATGCCGGTCCCAACTGCTATCGTAAACTGAGGACTATCTGTACCAGGATGCAATTAACTGTCAAAAGGAACCTAGCAACAGAAATGCCGTGTCAGATCTGAATTTTCACATTTTAGTGGTAAGATACATACATCTCCAAAGACCTGAGACATTCGTCTGCAAAATGTTATATTTTCCTGCTTGGAAATTCTGTTGCATATTCTGTCTGAATTCATGTGTTTGTGTGTGTCCATGTGGATATGTATCAATCTGCATGCTTTAATCTGCAACCAAAGAAAACTACTTTAAACTCTTATTTACTGCTTCTTGACATGTTGCCATTAAAAGTCATTGTGCTAATTAAGAAAGCTCCCAGAATGTTTAAAGCATATTTTCAATAGAGAAATAATCCTTTTTCTACAAACTCAATAGAGAACATCACTTGGCATAACAAGGTATTTCAACAGTACATCAGCAGAAACCAATTTTACTATTTCAACAAAGTATAGCAATGAATGTTTCTACATCCAGATGCCTTATGTTGCAACATCTCTGATCTGTATCCTGTTAGCAGTCTCTGTCTGATACAATCAGTTATATATTTTAGCTGTATTTCACTAACAGCAACATCCACATTCAACCTTTAATCAAGAACTTAAGCATGCTAATTCAGGAAATAAACCTAAAACAGTGTTTTTCAAACTTGACAACTTTAAGATGTGTGGACTTCAACTCCCAGAATTCCCCAGCCAGCAACCTTGGCAACTTTAAGACGTGTGGACTTCAACTCCCAGAATTCCCCAGCCAGCAACCTTGGCAACTTTAAGACGTGTGGACTTCAACTCCCAGAATTCCCCAGCCAGCAACCTTGGCAACTTTAAGACGTGTGGACTTCAACTCCCAGAATTCCCCAGCCAGCAACCTTGGCAACTTTAAGACGTGTGGACTTCAACTCCCAGAATTCCCCAGCCAACATGCTGGCTGGGGAATTCTGGGAATTGAAGTCCACACATCTTAAGGTTGCCAAGTTTGAAAAACACTGTCCTAAAATATATAGAAATATGTTCCTCGTCCTCCATACTTTAGTTGTGTCAGTTACGTTTACATTCTTTTCACAACCAAAGTTCATTCACACACATGTTGCTGTCATGTGGAAAACTCTGAGAAAGATTTCTCCCTTACATATCACCTTTAATTGTAATTTACTTAAATGTCTGATTGTAGCATGGCCATTTTAGGTGACCTTGTGCGAGTCACTAACTTTTAGACTCATCTAAGTCATAAGGTTGCTCTGACATCAGGAAGAGAGCGAAAAACATCTGAGAAAAAAATCCGAATGAAAAACGAAATGCCGTTTCCAAAGCCCAGCTCTAAAATTCACAGCCAGTCGTAGTCTTCCCCACAGATTCCCTTTGGTGTCTGAGAAAATTTGGGAAAAAGGCAAAATTCAGGAAATAGAAGTTCTCACTACCCTGCCTGTGTTCATGGATTGGCATTTGCAACCGGATTTTGAAATAACTGAATCTTCAGTCACCATGAAAAACAACATGGATTTTGCAGAACCATTCTTGTTCTTGTGAGGGCAAAGGAAGATTTAGCAGAAGATCAG